CTGCAGCGAGGGCCGCTGCCCAACGAGCTTGCTGCAACTCTTTTTGGAGGGCACGGCACCTTGGCTTCGTGCTGTAAACGCCCCAAATGCCATTGAACTTGGAGACCGTGAGGCAAGTCACTGTACGGACTGGGACATCAGGGAGTCCTTGGCATCAGCTCGTCATCTCTCTGGCAAAGCCTCGGCTGGTACAGGGCCGCGCCAGCTCTGGCCCTTTTGAACTTTTTCCCCTGCCACTCCCCACCTCTCCACTGCTTACCAGTTCCGGGACTGCTCTTGTTTCTGCCGGCGGTTGCATGACGTAACAGCAAATGCGCCCATGCAAGTTAGACGAACCCATGCAAGCTAAACGAACCCATGCGAGTTAATTGCAAAAACATGGAGATGTTCCATTTCCTCAGCCCTGCGATTGAAAAGGCGGCAGAGACTCGCAGAGACGCAACGACATGCCAAGACCGCAGCTGCCTCTGATTCACACCAAGGGGCTCCTGCTCCAGCGCTGCGACCAGATCCGTGAGCTTATTGTTTGCGGCCTCCAGCTCGACTTGCTTCTGGCACGTGTCCTCATACCTTATGAGGGACCCTAAAATTTGAATCCGGTGCTCTATGCGCTCTAGCCGCTCCTCAAGATATCTCATACATGCACTCACCACCACTCCCCTGCACGAAGCTTAGGGACAGTCCTGATGCTTTCTGAGGATTTCTGAGGGACTTACGCGGGGGGCCGGCACGACACCCCCTCTCTTTTCATTTCTTATCCTTAATACCTTTTTCCCTCAAAATTGAAAAGCGGGACTTCGACTTGTTCAGTTAGAGAGGCAGACCAGACAGAGAAAGCCATTTGAGGTAGTGTTATAGGGGTTGTAGAAGCGAGACCCATAATAGCAAATTAAAAACGAAACAGACATTCGCGAAATATTATCTAACGACCGTCAAAACGCACCAACTTCTCATCCGAGGAATATACTGTTATTTTTGCAAAATGTCAAACACACTGTTGCCGGTGGGCCTGCAAAAGAACATCCTTTGAGGAGGTGCGGCGTGGGCGGGAATCTAAACCCTCAACCCTAAACCCCTCACGTGTCCGCTCAAAGCCGAAGCTTGAGGCAGCTAGCTTCTTCTGACCTGTCTCACATGTGACCCCCCACACACCTCACTTAAGTCGCTATTCGGAAAGGAGGAAACCAGGACATGCGAAGTGATAGAATCCTGGCACTAGTGGTCGACAGTCATGCGGACTCACCTTCACATTTTAAACATCTTTAGTCTTTACACGCCGTTGAGGCCATTCTGGACACTCTCTGCTAGTTGTTGGTGTTGGGGCCCATGCTGGGCTTCTCGTTCCAAGTCTCGTGATTTGACCCCTGGCACCTAGCGGTGTAGAAGCTCGATGCCGAGAGGCTTGGACTTGAACTGTTATGCGCGCTTCTCAGCTTTTTGCAGCGCCTTCCACAGAAAGTCCATTTCCACATGCGAGCACCTCGGATGGGCAAGTTTGCACATTGCGCTGCTGGTCGAGCGTTTGCAACCTAAAGTTCCCATGAAGGGGCGCAAACGGCGCAAACAATGACATACTTCAGCTTTGCTGACGGATCTCTCTACACTAGTTGTTGCAGTGCTGGTGGGCACGGGGGCATGCGAGCGAACATGCGAAGTAGTGGGGCATTTTTCTGTGGAAAAGAGTTGTGCGTACAATTGTGACTTTGTCACGTCACATCCTGCACTGACATGCATTGAGAGTTTTCTCGAGTCGCGCTGGCTCTCCAAAAACATGCCTGTCCCACCCACCCAACAAGATCGGGAAATGAGAGGATGGGTTGCCCATTCTTTCGTACCCCACTGGCACGACTATCGCCCGCAACCGAAAAAGACGAGCGTCCGGCATCCGAATGAAAGGATACGTGAGGATTGTCTGTGAGCCATTCAGATGATGGTATTCATACGCTTTGGTGAATTAATATGTTGCCATCACCCATCATGAGACAACTGGGACCCAAAGAGAACCATTTTTGATAAATCACTTCGCCAGCCAGCTTTAGACCCCCACAGCTCCGTACAGACACAAGCTTCCGCTGCACTCAGCCTGCAGACCTTGAAACCCTGCCGCGCTACCCATAATCCCTCCACCCCTGCGGCCTGCGTAGATCACATATACATGTCGTCACCAGCCGAGAGGCTCGAAACCGAAAGGAGCACAGCGGGACCTAAGCATGTCTGAGCATCGGTGCTCACATGTGCTAACCTGTCTGCTGGCAGACGGAAAGCTTGAGTCGACAGATGGCGCTCATGTGCGTAAGCCGAGTGATCTCCAAGAAAACCTTTGCAGCCCGGCGACAGCATGGCCAACAACGCAGTCCCCTCGGGATGCGTCCTCAGGGGCAAACTCATGCCACATCGGCCGCTACAGTCATGCCCAACTTGAACACACAAGTAGGTAAGTCTATGTCATCTATGTATGTCGTATGCAACCAGGCCACACGCTTGGCATCTCAGTGTCGTATTGCGAGTGATGCATGGTATGGTTGCGTCGTCTTCCATCTGCATTCCACAGAGTCAGCGATGCTCTGGTCACTCAGCCGACGCGACCCTTGTATCCGCGCTCCCAGTTCACCTCCCTCCCAAAAAGCAATAGCCCCCCCCCCCCCCCCCCCCCCCCCCCCACCAACCCCACCCCTAACCCACCCCTCCGAACCCTGCACAACTCGACCTAAAACCTGACCCCAAGTGCCACCCCATTTGTGTTCAGGAGCGTGCGCAACCATGAAAAGTGCAGGCAAGGCGCCGGAGATGGTTCTCCGGCCACGCCACACCCACCATGGCCAAGGCAGAAGCGCTGCACAACACGCCGACCGAACAAGCACGGCCAACAGGCCGGTGTGCCTCTACGAACGGTCAGCACCCCCTTAAACTGGAACCACACCTTCATTCTGACATCGTGGGGACTATTTTATCTAAACGCCGAGCAATGCAAGGAGTTGAGCTGCATCCTGGCCATACACAGCTTCAGAGCAGTTACGAGTAGTAGCCTGTAGTGGCGGGGTGTTAGTTTCTGGTCTGGTCTTTGAGCGAAGGTCGAAGGACCGCTGTCAGTATCGTGGTCGTCTGCTGGCACCAGCAATGCTTGAGCAATGCGTGAGCTTCGAGACTTGGACTCACAAGCTTCTGAGAATCAGAATAGAAGATGACGTTAGCACTGCTGCTTTCGCATGCACGCCACACCTATGATGCTCCGGATGTTGACCCTGTTTTGGTGCAAGCCGTGCTCCCAACCATCGGTCGATCAGCAAGAACGGAAATCCAACGGGCGGTGGAGCATGTGTTTCCGTTATGTTGCAAAGCGGTTGGTTGATTTTCTGCATCCTTCAAAACTTCAGGAAGCAACTGCCTACATAGTTTTTCTCCCACATCCAGCGCTTACTCTCCACCATATTGCTAAGCGGATTGAAACCTATGAGAAATATTCCTATGGAGAGATATTAAATAAATACTGCTTCCCGTGAGACTTACTGGGGGGACACTAAAGCAAATCCTGTGCTCCTTCGTGCATTTAAGCAGCCGTGAACAAATGCATCTGGGCATTTTCCTTTTCATTTTGGGCCCGTTTCAGAATTCTTATGAAACGTCGTAGATGTTGCTAGACGTATTCAGGTTCTTATAACCCTTTTCCTTCTTCTTTGCGAATTCATGAATTGCCAAATACATTTTTGATATGCCTGGGTATCGTGATTGACCCCAAAATATCAATCTATTTATTTCTTAGAATTGGTCTTGATCTATATATACGCTATAATGAAATCCAGGTAACGAATTTGACGTGGGCGACACAAATGAGTTTTTGCCAGGCCCGAATAATCGTTTTAATCGGACCAAGAAAGATATGAAATATGTCAATATAAATAAGACAAAATACAGACGACTTCTGCGTCCAAAAGAATCAATACAATGACCAAAGAGCCAATATCCTAACCATTCATTTCATTTTCGTTTTTATCAAGAATTCAATGATATCCAATTGAGTGTGCGAAGGAATGGACGTATTGTAATAATGTGAATTCTCATGCAGGAAATCGACCCCCCGCCATATTGTGGATTAGTCTGTATTTCAATTATACATCGTCCCGCCCCAGCACTTTAGAAGACTGCCTGGCTTGAGATGAATCGTAATCTAGGTAAGTCAATCCAGATTACAGCAATATTTTCACCAGCTCACTCTGCTCGCACAGCCTGCAAAGGCCAGGATTTAATTCATGGAGATGGAAGGATCCAACTGGAAGTTGCCTAACCACACGTTGAGTCTTCCTCCTTCCCCCGTCCCCATGATTTGCGAATTATGACCAGCACAATGGGCATGGCAGTGGACTTTCTTCCTTTCTGTAAACCGTTCTTCTCTGCCAAGATGTGGCGGCCTGTGGCGGCCCCAAAGTCTGCATCGGCCGTCTTGGCCAAGAGGGCATATCTCAGTCGGCTCTATGGCTCCTTCGGATGCCCTGCACAGCAGAAGCCCATTGTGTTGACAACATCTGTCACCATGACGTATGCTAGATTCACTAGATTCGCTAGATTCTCACCCCTTGCCAACTGCACCGCCCGAGGCACTTGGGCATTTGTTGCTATCTGACAGGTAGCCTATCAACCAGGTAGTGGAAGCTTTGTTTCCTGCTGCTGGAAAGACCCGCGCTGCAAACGTCTGCATGTCTGCTCGTGAGGAGCTCTGGCGGCCTCTGAAGGCGCAGCAACCTGTCGCAAAGCCTAGCGGTAACATGTGTGCTTCTCCGATCTTGGTTTGAGACGTGCCCTGCTCAATATGCAGCAGTGGGGTGTGCAAGATTCGCGCCAGCAGTTTTCAACGTTCTGCTGCTGCTGCAGGTTTTGCCGCTGCTCAAACTCTCGATTCCTGGCTTTGGATTAATTGTCACAGGCTTCTCGGCTACTGGCTGGAGCGAAGTCCTGCATTGTCTAGGTGTACATTTGCAGACGAAAGGCGTGGCTGGTGCAGCCTCTCAGTAGCGCCCCGCGTGGATCTTCCGGCGGGCGGCGTTGTACTTGGCCTGAGCAAATGCAGAGCTGAGGGACTTTTCGCAATAGGATGCCCTTTTGCTTGCCTCTGGAATGTAACAAGGTTCATCCCTTGACTGTCTTTTACCAGTAACAGATGAAGCTCGTGAAGATGGTCCCCTGGTGACAGGAAGCCAATGCTCATGGCGCACATCACGAGGCCCAAATGGCCATCAACCCTGAAACTCAACACTTTGGATCTTTAGGCTTCTGTGCTTTTTTCTGTGTGTTTCTTCCAGCGCCTGAAGGCTTCGAAACTGTTCTGGCCCGGCCAGCAGCAAGGAAACTCTTGACAGTCGGGCGAATGCTTGCGAGAGATTCCTGTTGTTTCGACTGCGTTCCCCCCTTCCTCGTGCACGCAGAACACTTGGCAACGCCATGTGAACAAACCTGGTGTCGACTTAGCTGACTTAGCAGCTCCCTGCAGATGCCCAGCCTGCAACAGCCTTCTGAGCTTTGTCAGCTGCGCAAACTTGGCTTCCATGGCACGCGTCGTGGCCAGGTACTGCGCTCGCTCCTTGAAAGTTGCGGTGGGCTTGTGGCTATTTTGGGCTCTCCGCATGCGTAGGATTGCGGAGGGTCCAACTCGCTTTGCTTCGAAACTTTCAGGGTTGCGGAAGCCAAGTGAGTTGTATAGGCCCAGGACCCTTGTCGGCCTGTATCTCTTGTTCCTGCAGCGGATGCAACGATGAGTCTTTGCCGCCACTCAGCATCCCAAACCTCCTTGAGAAGCCAACAACTTGAGCTCTCAAAAGCCTCAACGCAGCGACGCAGAGTGCAATTGCCCAACCTAGGTTCTTTTTGATCCCAATGGTTTTAGATGCCCAAAGCTCCTCGGCCCAGTCAACGGAAGGCATCGCACGGTCTGAAGGCAGACCTGGCGCTCTCTGCTTCAGGAGTTGCAAAAAAGTTTGCGATCAAACGAGGCCCCAGAGTTTCAGGCTAAACGACGTGATGCGCTCTCAGTGTTAAGCCTTCCCTAAATGGCTGTCCAAAAACTGCGTGCACCAGCGAGCCTTGCTTCTCCTTGCGCCGCTTCTCCTGCGCTTTTGGAGCTTTTGGACCAGCTTCTGGAGCTCAATTAGCCATATGTGACCTGGGGAGGCCTTTGGTGTCGAAAGGTGGTTCCGAACTCTGACTCTGAGGGCTTCGGATAAGGGCTTGGGGCCTGTAGCCCCACAAACAAAGCTGTTGATGAGCTGATGACCTGAAAAAGGACCCCTGAAAGCAAGATTCACCGAGCTGGCCTGCTCAACCCAAAGTCCGCAGGCGCGCAGCGACTGGCCCGGGGCTGCGGCACCGATCGCACGGGCGCTCTGCAGGAAGGCTGGGCATGAAACAAAGGAGGCAAAGGAGGCAAAGGAGGGGGCTCGAGTAGTGGTACCGGGTGTCAATCCGACCGCAGGCCGTAGGATTCACCGGAGTGAGCTGGAACAAGGACAAGAACTTGCTCCATTCTTGCAGCTGGTCGCAACATAGAGGCCCAATCTTGATTCATCTACGTGTCAGAACCCACACCTGGCGTAAACCTCCCTCAGCCCATCTAAACCGAGAGTACCGAGCACGCACCTGCTCGGCTTCAGCCAAAACGCGCTGAACCTGCCGCACTTGAAGAAGAAAGCGCTCAAAGTGAGGCGTGGAACTGCGGCGTGGGATTCTTGTGCCACTTACTAATCTATTGGCATAGCTCTTTGTCTGATGAGGGTCCTCACACATCCCATTCACCAACACATGAAACGAGACCTTAACAGAGAACCACCTTCCGGACTGTCCCGCGAACAAAACAAAGTCCAAGAGTCCAGCCTGGGCTGTGAACGCTTGCGAGGCCTCGTGCTGGCAACGCTCATCGTCACAAGATCTCCCCGCATAGTCGCGATCTGTGTAGACCCGAACTAGCCAAAGCTTCGAAATGCTTCGAACCTGCATTGATACGGGACCAGTGGAATCCTCACACCGAGAAGAGTATTTCAGACCTGACTTCCTGGTGATTCACTCGTGGTGCGTTGCTCCCTCGTCGCCTGCGCAATCTCTGCCTCGAGGGCTGTGCACAGCTCACGAAGGTCGTCACCGCCGGTGACCTCAGCCGTGTAAGCAGTGTGTGTGTGTGGCTTTGGAAACGGACTGAGAAGGACGGTAACAGTGTTCCTCCAGTGTGGTGACCCCGGTGTTCTAGGTTGCTTGCTTTAGAAGCTTAAAAGTAGGCTCTGGAGAAAAGCAGGTCTTGAGCTTTGCTCAAGTTTCATCCCGGAAGTGGATGGTTCCATCTTTTTGCTTCGGGCCCCGAGGCAGTACCATGCATGGTATGGCACGAGCTCGTTGTAAGTACTCTCCCTCGACGACCACCGCAGAAGATCAGGACACGTTCAACCCCAATGCACAAACCGGCTGGAACCTTTTATCATTCCCTGTTGCGATAGCTATCTGCTGCGGCACTCTTACAGTCGGACTCATAGTTAGAACAGCTGGAGGGCCCTTTCCCCATTGAAAAGTGCTTTTTAAGACTCGCTACTGATCACAGCTCGCATTTTCCCTAGTGAAACACTCAGCTTCAAGCGTGCAGAAAAAGGGATGCTCACACGTCTTGTTTGTTTGAGAACACGCAGGCCCAGGCCTCACTTACTTCAGCTGTGAAAGTCTGATGTCTTCTCAACTTAGGCGCCTAGTAGGGCGTCGTTGCTGTAGGACCGTGGGAACGAGAGACATTGCCCTGGAACGTTGAAAAGACTAGGCATCTCAAGCCCCACTTCCAGGTAAGAGCTTTGCAGTGGAACCCAATGCGATAGACTTCCACCCACCTAGCAGCCCTTAGCACCTCATTTTTCGGTCGTGCGCTTCTATGTTGAGGCTTGGGTGTTGATGACCATGTCAAGCAATTGAACCCATGAGGAAGCACGATGATGTTTGAGAACTTGACGGATACCTCAAGGTCACGCAGGCTCCGAGGAATGACCCTCACTGCTGAGAGTTATCACTAGTGATCACCCCACATCCGAGGCCAATGAACGACAAAGACCTTGACAACGGCGGAGGCTCCGGCTGTCGTGCTGATCTCCTTCATTGCCTGTGCGCTGGGCAAGGGCCTCAGAAGCATCAAAGGCCACCAGGTTTTGCGGGTTTGGGCCTTGTCCCCCTGCCTCTGAGCTTTGCAAAAGCCCCCAAAAGAACACTCCAAGACATGCCAAGACCACTGCGAGAGCATCTAGGGTTTGAGGATGCTTGAGGTTTAAGTTTGGCGCATACTGCAGGACCCAGGGTTTGAAATTTCAGGAGTGAATTCCGCACTCCAAGACCACGATTCAAGAGCACCCTCCTAGGCAAGCCAACGGCAACAAAGCGGGCAACTGACCTTCACGAGCATGCGCACGGGAATTTGGACGAGAGCGCCATTTCAAGTGCACTGCACCTAGGCGGGAGGGCGATTTCGAGTACGGAATTTAGGCGAGAGCGCGATTTGGCACCCGATTCGAGGCCAAAAAACAGATTATATGATTTTTTGCGAGATTTGGAACACCTCTTCGCGTTTCTGGAATGCGGAAACATCCAGGCGATGACCGATGTGAAAAGCGCAAGATGCCTAGGCAAGCGCGGGCACACGGCAATTACCGAGAGGGTTATCGATTTCGAGGCCCCGCGCGCTCGGGGTGCCGTGGGGTCACAGCGATCTAATTCGACATAAGAACCTCAGAGCCCCAAAGAGCAAGAGCACGCATTTTTTTTTGAGGGGGGGGGGGGGGGAAGGCAGAAAGCAAAATCCAAGCGCAAAGCAAAACCCTGCGAAGCCCCGGGTCTGTGTGTCAGATCCCCACGCATGCCAAAGCCTCCGATAAAGCTTTCCCAAAAGTGCCTCCGGACTCCGAAAGTGCTTCTTAGGAAGGGCCAAGTTGAGGCCGAGGGCAGGGAGAAGGGAGGACTCTCGCAGATGCCAAGAGGCGCCAGGTCACACTGCGACGCGCAGGCGTAGCAGCCGCTGTGGAGATGCCTTGGAGATCCAAGAATCCACAGAGCCCAACATTCGCCCACCAAAAATCCGTGAGTTCCAAAGAGGTTCGTTCTAGATTAGGTTGAAGGTGCAGACTTGACAGCGGGCATGGCCAGGCAGGGAAAAGCTGTGTCAAGTAGAGGCTTTGCCCAAAGACGCAGACCCCGGACATGCACAGATGTGCAATCTGAAAAGTACAATGCTGAGTTGCTAGACTGTTAAGCAGATTGAATACGTAATCCACAGATCAGAAGACCAAGGCTTTCTCGAATGCAAATGCAGCAAATGTATGCAAATTTGAACAGGATGTTGGAGTGTTGACGAGCATGACACACACGAGGGGGCGCTGACGTAAGGTCCTAATCTATCACACGATATATCCTTTGATTGCAAAATACATAGGGAATCATCCGGCATGGTTTTAGAACTTAATCAGCTAACGCTCTCACTCTCTTTGGTGGCGTAAGCCATGAACGAACCACGAGGTTATGCGCAAGACCAGCAACTTTCCCCCCTTTCCATGGAGACACGATGAGCCCCCTCCCGCCATCCATTTCAGCCTCTGTGCACGCCTCCGTTGTTGCTAACAAACGGATGACCCCTCAAATGTTACTTGCTGCAAAAGTACTGCAGCTGCGTTTGTAGTTTCTGGGTATTGCTTCGAAAAGCTGGTTGCCCCCGGCTGCTACTTCACGCAGAAAAGCTGCAGACCCAGACCAATCAGAAGCCGCTGCAAATGGCAAATCTATTCCATTAGACTCAATTGTCATGCTTGAGGCACACCACCGACTTGTCACCGAAACCTTCAGGGTGTTGCTGTCGGCCCTCAACCCTTCTCGCCTGTGGTTCGGCTCGCGCGACGAGCTGCGCCGCCGTCCTGTCTATGCTTTCTAGCCGCTTCAATCAGAGCGATTCATTCAATGCCAGTGCCTCAGCAGCCCAAGCAGCCCAAGCAGACGAACACAAGACGAACACAAGACGAACACAAGACGAAACACACACACACACACACACACACACACACACACACACACACACACACACACACACCCACACCCACACCCACCCACACACACACACACACACACACACACACACACACACACACACACACACACACACACACACACACACACACACACACACACACACACACACACACACACATGCGTTCACACTTGCGCGTGCACTTGCACGACTGGATGAAGAGTGTTCTTTGGCCGAGAGAACTCTTTTGTAGCTTCAGGCACCGCTTGCAGTTCCCTCATCGACCGAAAACCCTTAGACAAAAGGAAAGAGTCTAGGCTTGGAAGCGGATTCTACAATCTGCAGGTGCAGATCTGTGTGTCCGCCGATCCTTCCACCTGTTCTGCACGCCTTGGCTACCACGGAACGGACTGCTAGTCTCCTGAGAAGTGAGACATGATGAAACTGTGGAAAGCATATCGTCGCCAGGGAGTCACCCATGATCTCGGGCAGTGCACACTGCACACACACACACACACAGAGACACGGACACGGACTCTCGCAGACACAGACCCACCCACCCCCCCCGCCGGCCCCCACGCTGCGCACGCTTGAACAAACACACATGTGCACGCGTGCACGCACGAACACACGCTCGCACACAGACATGTTGGAGATGCTGACTCATGTGGGGCTGACGGGTCAAGGTGACTACATGCTGCCCTGAAGTACAAAGTGCTCGTTCAGGCAAGACTTCTAGCTGGACATGCTTTCGCATTCTCTTCCACGTGGCCTGGCGGAGGTGACGCAGATCGCAAACGCAGGCGCGTGAAGGGCGTGGGGTCGTAGAAGAGTGTTTGCAGGGCCTCAGGGCAAACATCGCATAATTCATGCTTGTTCTTCAGATGATGGTTCCGGAGGCAAGGAGGCTCATGGTCGGTGTGAAGAGTGACTCCGCATGAAGTAACGCCCAGTAAGATCACCCCCCGATATCGGGGACTTTTGCGACCCTACTCTGCTCTTGCACAAGTCAACTTAATACCCTCCAAGTCCAGGCCCTGGCAGATAGCAGGTCCACCATGAACTGCAGGAGGGATGTTCGCTCTTGAAGGCATCTGCCATGCAGGTTTACCAAAACCCAAAACATGGACTCAGGATTTGCGTTCAAGGTCGTCACGATTTCTGCATGGGAGATCATGGGAGGCTGCATTGAAGCAGATACAACAGTGGAGGTGGCACAACGATAGCTGTGGTACGCTGGCGCTCACATGCTTGAACAATGGCATGGCTGCTCCCACTATGCTACGAGCAACCTCTGCAAAGTCGAACCACAAGTCTCGACTTCACAATCTGCTTTTTGCCACGGACAGGGAGTCCCCCCACCCAAAAACAAGGGCGCCCACGAGAAGAGCGCGATCTCCATGTCGGTGGACTGCATGCTGCGATCCTTCGGCAAGTTGAAAGCTTTGTTCGTGGATTGAGCCCTAGCCAAGATTTCCTGCGACCTCTGCAAAGATCAAGACAAGAGCAAGAACACCAGATGAAGGTCCAGGCCCCCATGCAGTCCACCCTTGCCCAAGAGGAAACTCCGAGAAATTGAAACTCCAACTGGAAGGTGAGGACTCCCTCTCGCCTGCAGCTCCTTCTCTGCCAGGCCAGCAGACTCCTCTTTGTGGCAGTTGCAGCGTTTGAGAGTGAGAAGCCCAGTGATTGCAAATGGGGTAGGTTTTCCTAGGGTGGCGCCTGATAGCTATCCATGCAGGCAGCATCGGCTGGTGCTGGCTCTGGCTTTCGAACTCAACCCGCCGCGAGCATCAGGGTGCTGCCCTGGCTTTCAAACCCAACCCCGCCGCGAGCATCATGAGCATCAGCTGGTGCTGGCTCTGGCTTTCGAACCCAACCCCGCGAGCATCATGAGCATCAGCTGGTGCTGGCTCTGGCTTTCAAACCCAACCCCGCGAGCATCATGAGCATCAGCTGGTGCTGTTCTGGCTTTGAAACCCAACCCAGAGAGCATCATGAGCATCAGCTGGTGCTGGCTCTGGCTGTCAAACCCAACCCCTCGAGCATCATGAGCATCAGCTGGTGCTGCTCTCGCGAGCATCATGAGCATCAGCTGGTGCTGGCTCTGGCTGTCAAAGCCAAACTCCGCGAGCATCATGAGCATCAGCTGGTGCTGGCTCTGGCTGTCAAAGCCAAACCCCGCGAGCATCATGAGCATCAGCTGGTGCTGGCTCTGGCTTTCGAACCCAACCCCGCGAGCATCATGAGCATCAGCTGGTGCTGCTCTGGCTTTCAAACTCAACCCAGAGAGCATCATGAGCATCAGCTGGTGCTGGCTCTGGCTTTCGAACCCAACCCCGCGAGCATCATGAGCATCAGCTGGTGCTGGCTCTGGCTTTCGAACCCAGCCCCGCGAGCATCATGAGCATCAGCTGGTGCTGCTCTGGCTTTGAAACCCAACCCAGAGAGCATCATGAGCATCAGCTGGTGCTGGCTCTGGCTTTCAAACCCAACCCCGCCGCGAGCATCATGAGCATCAGCTGGTGCTGGCTCTGGCTTTCGAACCCAACCCCGCGAGCATCATGAGCAGCAGCTCGTGCTGGCTCTGGCTTTCGAACCCAACCCCGTGAGCATCATGAGCATCAGCTGGTGCTGCTCTGGCTTTCAAACCCAACCCCGCGAGCATCATGAGCATCAGCTGGTGCTGGCTCTGGCTTTCAAACCCAACCCCGCGAGCATCATGAGCATCAGCTGGTGCTGGTCTGGCTTTCAAACCCAACCCAGAGAGCATCATGAGCATCAGATGGTGTGGCTCTGGCTTTCGAACCCAACCCAGAGAGCATCATGCGCATCAGCTGGTGCTGGCTCTGGCTGTCAAACCCAACCCCGCGAGCATCATGAGCATCAGCTGGTGCTGGCTCTGGCTTTCAAACCCAACCCCGCGAGCATCATGAGCATCAGCTGGTGCTTGCTCTGGCTTTCAAACCCAACCCCGCGAGCATCATGAGCATCAGCTGGTGCTGCTCTGGCTTTCGAACCCAACCCCGCGAGCATCATGAGCATCAGCTGGTGCTGGCTCTGGCTGTCAAAACCAAGCCCCGTGAGCATCATGAGCATCAGCTGGTGCTGGCTTTGGCCTTCGAACCCAACCCCGTGAGCATCATGAGCATCAGCTTGTGCTGCTCTGGCTTTGAAACCCAGCCCAGGGAGCATCATGAGCATCAGCTGGTGCTGGCTCTGGCTTTCAAACCCAACCCCGCGAGCATCATGAGCATCAGCTGGTGCTGGCTCTGGCTTTCGAACCCAACCCCGCGAGCATCATGAGCATCAGCTGGTGCTTGCTCTGGCTGTCAAACCCAACCCCGCGAGCATCATGAGCATCAGCTGGTGCTTGCTCTGGCTGTCAAAACCCAACCCCGCGAGCATCATGAGCATCAGCTGGTGCTTGCTCTGGCTGTCAACCCCAACCCCGCGAGCATCATGAGCATCAGCTGGTGCTTGCTCTGGCTGGCAAACCCAACCCCGCGAGCATCATGAGCAGCTTGCTCTGGCTGGCAAACCCAACCCCGCGAGCATCATGAGCATCAGCTGGTGCTTGCTCTGGCTGGCAAACCCAACCCCGCGAGCATCATGAGCATCAGCTGGTGCCCAACCCCGCGAGCATCATGAGCATCAGCTGGTGCTTGCTCTGGCTGGCAAACCCAACCCCGCGAGCATCATGAGCGTCAGCTGGTGCTTGCTCTGGCTGGCAAACCCAACCCCGCGCGCATCATGAGCATCAGCTGGTGCTTGCTCTGGCTGGCAAACCCAACCCCGCGAGCATCATGAGCATCCTGGCTGTCAAACCCAACCCCGCGAGCATCATGAGCATCAGCTGGTGCTGCTCTGGCTTTCAAATGGGCAACTTGCTCTTGTCATGATCTGACCTGAACACTTTTGCACTGCCAGGAGTTCGGGTCGGGGCGAGTACTGGCTCAGAGTGTGCTGGCAGGATCTCTGCCGACAGTCGCACAAGACCCACAAAGGAAGTTGAGGTGGCGGATCGCAGAGCAAAGCAATCAAGGATATGACACAGTACAAACAAAAGAACTTGACAGAACAGAACATGACCCCCATCATGACATGATCTATTTTCATGATCATGAGGACGGCAATATGAGTGCGTCAAAGCCCCGCATCCTCAACGTGGGGGGCGGCGCCTCCAATTCCTCGATGTGCTCCCGCTGCTCCGCCAGCATCTTCTCGAGCCCTCAGTGATCAAGAGCCTCCTGATCAAGAGCCTCCTCCCCCCCCCCTCCAACAGCCTCAGATCCATCCTCTGACGCTTCAACGAAGCCCTGCACTCTGACAGTCTCACAACTCTCGCAAGCCTCCCGGCACCCCAACCCCCACCAAACCCGAACCCTGAGCTCCGATCGCTGCCGGGCTTGGTCTGAAGCACCCCGGGCCTGTTGCACCTGCGGATGCAACCCCCATACTAACAGTCACCCTGCCTTGAACGGCGCACGGTCACCAAGTGCAGTGTGTCAGCAAGGGATTTTGCATGCCGGGGAGGCAATACAAAGGGGGTGGACGAGGTCGCCCCGATTGGTTTCGAGCATTCACACAGCAAAGCACCTTTCAAAACCGCACGCCCGTAAAGCCTTTGAAAGCTTACAGCCCAAAGTCATCATAAACACCCTGCATGCGGACATTCTGCACAGTTGACGACAACCCAAGCATGCAACAAAGAAAACAATCTTGAGCGCTACGCTGCAATCTTCCCGAACATTCAACAGCATCTCAAGTCAAAGAACCCAAAGAACTGGCCTCGGCTCGCAAGGATGACGTCTCCTCGCGGGCCTCAAAAGGGCATAGAGCTTAATGATGGCACGCGTGGGCTCAGTGCGGCTGATTTAGTGCAGGTATCCCACCATGTACGGCTGGCATTACCCACTCAAAAGCAACAAGCAGCCTCGCGGTGTTCACGCCGCAAGCGCTGAAGCTCCGAGAGCTCGCGCCTGAGGACCGAGGAGCTCATCAGCATTTCAGCGGCAACACGTGTTCCGGTTGAGGTCTTCAGTTGCTTGAAACCGGCTTCGTCGTGTTCGGCCCAAACATGGCCCAAACGTGGTCTCAAAAGCCCTCCTCAACCTTCACTGCTCTGAAGGTCGAGCTCTGGCCCCGGCTGACGCTCCTCTAGCAAGGCACAGTGACCGGCCTGAGCAGCTCTCAGCAAAGCACCATGACACCATGACACAGATCCGGATCAGTTCTGCGACGCCCTGCTCCCTCAACTGAGAGACCTCAGCTTTGGGCTGCAGTTACAGTGGTCCTCGACCACTTCAGGTAGGGTGCCAACTACCTCAAAGACTCTTGCAATAGTAAGAGGCATTCGGTTTCGCCAAGTAACCTCCGATCTTTCCACCAGCATCGTCAAGCGGAGGACCTGGACTGGTTGTCATCCGGCCGAACGCAAGCAACTGCAGAGGAACGAGTCGCATCAGGATGGGTTGAAGGCCACACACACACACCAACACCACACGCACACACAGAAAAGCAACACGCACACCCAGAGGCACCCCCTCCCTTGGCCTCGCTTTCCTGGTCAGCTGCACGGCGCAGCGCCTCTCTCTTCAGGGACAAGTTTGTGGGGTACTGCTGTTTTTCATCTATGCTTAATGCCTTTGTTTTCGGATATTCTGAGAATGATAGGTATAGCAGTCTTGGCAGGCATATCTAACAGCGGAGAAACATAAGCTTCTCGGGGCTAGGCGTGCATTAGCACAATCACAATCAGGCCTCATCTCGTTCCCTTTGCAGGGCTTCGATGTGATCCTCCAAGTTTGTGTATGCCACGTGTAGATAAGTCAGATCACCTTCGTGAAGCCTGCGAAGATAAACACTAAGGAAGGCCCCAAGCTCCATGGGCGGAAGCACGGTGCAAGGTTGAAACACGCTGGGCGCAGCAGGACAATTGTTTCATGTGACAGACTTGCTACGAGAAGGTAGAAGACTGCTCGACCGGTGTTAACTCTCACAAGCTCAACACGGACTTCGCTGATCACACCACGGCGTTGGTGTCCTGCGAGCGCTCCAAAGCCAAAGCCAGTGCCGAGTCGCGTGTTGTGGA